GGGGGGTAGCATATATATATATATGAGGGTGTATTTAGGTGTGTGTGTGTGTATATATATATACACACTAATTTCTGTTTCTTGTTGGACTTCACTTTGGATTGGGCAAGAAGCTGCCTTATAGAAGACCAAAAGTGTAGGTACGTCGGGGGCGGGTAGCATATATATATATATATATGTGTGTGTGTGCCTGTGCGTGTGTGTGTGCGTGTGCGTGCATGTGTGCGTGTTTGAAATGTGTCCGGTTTGTTAAGATGTCTGGGATGCTCGTTGAGTTTGTGATTATGGTGGTGATTGTCATAAGCAAAACCAAGACTAGTCTACCTTTGTGTGCTTCTGTGTTGTCCAGAGTGTTCAAGGCTGTCGGTTGGAGAGTTAGCAATGGGCAGGTTCAGGCCATGGTGTCCGGGGCTGGGATAGGTCTTTTTGAGAGATCCTGCTGCTTCAATCAATGAACTGGAGGGATTGAATATATATGGTGGAAGTAGGGGTCATATATTATGGATTCGGGTGGCTGCATATGGAGCTTCTCTTAATACAGACTTGTGATCAGTCTTTTGCGGCGCTGGTATGAACATCATAGTTTTCCTTTAGAGCACTATGCCCGCGCCTCGTGCCTCCACCTAGTTAGGGCAGGGGGTTCCCCGGAGCAGCATCGAGTCTTGAAGCGGGAGCATGACCAGCGCATGCTGCTCAGTTGCTCCTGCAGTGGAGCCTGATATAGGGGCCTAAATAAGTTCTTAGACTATTTTGGTGGGTTCCTTATTATATAGTTATAGTGTACTATACCCCAAAACCTTATTCCATCATTATAGTTAGAGGATACTATACCCCAAAACCCTGTTCTAATTATGAAGGCCACTACATTAGCAAGAGGACTGCAGCTCCGTCAGCTGCGGCTGCTGCAATGGCCCCATGCAGCTTTCCGCCGCCTGCCAGCTACGGCATTTAGGACCTAATCTAGGGTTTAGGGTTTTGGGACATGTTTTATTTTCCTTCTGTGGGTTTATCAGGGGCCCTTTATGTAGATACTTTTTCCGAGGGGTAATACAAGTGCCTAGATAATTAGTAATGGTATCACCTTATACTTATAGTCTCCATGTAAGTAAGTATAATCATATTATCCCCCAAAGCCGGGTGGAGAGTTAACAAGGGTCCTGCACGATACAGGGCCTTCCAGCGGATGCATATGTGGCGAGGCGAAGGAAGCATTCCAGTCTCTTGAGGTGTCACGATTCAGCATGTGAGGGTTGTAATATATAGGGGCCTTAATAATTACCCATACTATTTTGGGGGGTTCCTTATGTCCTTTACACTGTAAAGGACCCGAAAACAGTACACACAAGTATCCTCTCGAAGACCTGCACCACTAGTGTTCAGACTGGAGGGTCCAACCCAACTACTGAGTGACTGGTGCAAGCGACTCTTGGATGCCTTAAGGCCTTTTTCAGTAGCGAGCAGTGGCTATCGTTGTCGTCATCGCAGTAGTACATATGATCTCCTCAGGCCGGCGAGCCCCTGTTCATCTCGAACGGTGCTGCAGAGGACGGGCGATGCAGTAGGTAAATATGTCCTTGAGTCGTGGTATCTTTTACATGAGTACGGCTGCTGCAAGAATTGGGTCTCGGCATCGTATAACCTTTAGAAAGTGTCGAGCATTGCAGCCTTGGCAGCTTGGGCATCTGTTTGTCGAAGGACGCTGGGTACCTGGCCACATATGGTGCGGATCCCGATGGGAAGGACCGCCAAATCCCCAGCACTCCACATGAAAACGCCTTCTGGAGCAAGTCGCCGGATGTCAGAGGGACTGCATGTAATGCATGTGTAATGAAAAGGCAAGTCAGTTTCTCTTTGCGCCTTTGCATGTTGGTGTTTCGCGGCTTAATGTTTGCTTATGTCCCTGAAGTTTACGTACGTTTTGGTGGAATTCTGAGAAAAACTAGAGTAACGATTGTTTGCTTGGTCGAATAATGCCGTGGCTTCCCGCTTGCAAATTCCCGTGATTTCTATTTTAAGAGATCACATTGGGAGGCTCCAAGTTTCTTCCTACTCCTCAGTGCCTCCAACTTGGACGTGCGCCCTGGCCGAGCAAACAGGGAGAGAGGGCTTCTGGTTTCAGGACATGGGCTTCGCCTGGGCCAATGTACTGGTAGAGAACCTGGACCTAGCCAATGCAATTTACAAGTTGTGAATTACCCCCGATCCTGACCGTGACTTTGTGAACGTTAGTTTGAAGCCTCGGGCGAAATGCAGGCTGCAGACAAGACCCCCATGTTTTGTGCCGGAGAAGTGTTACATGGGCTGAGAGCTCCCCATCAAGTTCACGTCAACTTCGCCTCCTTCGAGGCTTTGCCTTGTGGATCTCCCCGGCCGCGTGCCTTTGGGCTTCCACTCTCTCTGGGTTTCTGAAGAGGAGATGGCCTCTCAAGCTGATTTGCCAAGGGCGAGACTTTGACGTGGTCCCTTGCACTCGCTGCTCTTGCAACCTTGCGACGATAATCTAGTAGCATGTAAACGTGGCCGTCGTCGTCGGAGTTGCAGCCGTAGAAGTAAAGCGCCAGTAGGCACTGCTGGCATCCTAATGCAAGTAGTACTAGGAGAGGAGTAGAAGGTGGTCCGGTGGTAGGTTAACCGTGGCGGTGGAAATGGCAGGGAGCTGCAGAAAAGTCACAGCAGACTCGCCCCGAGCGGCCACAAACCATGAAGTTCATAAAGCTTTTGTAACGGGACAAGCGCAGCGAGATCTGCAGTGGCTATGATCACTGGGCAAGGTGCCGCAGGGTAATTTCGTGCTAGGAACGACCGTTTGCACAGGTTCCATCGTCAGTAGCTGGAGCGTTGTCTCTCAGCCACAAACCATGTGGCCCTCGACCAAGACATGAAACTAAGATCCCAGCCGGTGTCGCCGCTTCCCTCGCATAGGGTCTAGGGTTGGCCTTTGCTCCAAACGCGATCCACTATCTCCCCCTTGCAGAGTTATAAAATTTGTTGAGCGTTGGTTGTGCCTGAGACTCGCCCGAAGCTGCCTGCAGCTGTCCAGAGCAAAAGCGCCAAAGAACGCGCGGCACAAGCGCGCGCCAAAAAATGCTCTGAAGAGTGCGGGAGGAGATGTCGAAAGTCTGCTTTAGTCCCACGGTGCTAAGGCATTGGGTTTTGATGGGCCGTCTCTACAGTGCTGCAAGGGGTTTGGTTAAGTTATGCAGTTATAGGATGCTGAGGATCATTATGAGGATAATGACAGCTTACAGTTGATCATCTGGTGTCGCTGATGATGATGATGATGATGATGGTGGTGATGGTGATGGTGCTGATGGTGATGATGATGATGGTGGTGGTGATGATGATGGTGCCGCAAAGGCCACAGAGGTACGTATGCACATTCACACGTAAAGGTGAACGCGCATTGCTTACGTACATGCTGCACATGGACAGCCAGCCTTCAGTATCGTGTTGTCTGCTGCTTTTGGAGAGTACGAAACCAGTTGAGTGTAATATTTCTGCAAGCTCTCTGTATTCTCCAACTCCGCATATGTTCCATAACATGCCTACACAGTGCAGTCTCCGCTCTATGGACCCCCTCAAGCTCTTTTTCGCAGCCACTCACAGCATAATTGTGAATTTAAACCACTGCATACTTATGACAGACGTAAGCAATCAAGCAACGTGTGCAAACTCCTTCGAGCCACTTACATGCCTCTTTCATTGACTCCCTCGTTCCCGTCAGGCACAAAACAAACCTCACAAGTGCCATAGTTTTCGCAGATGCTGGCATGATAGTGTGTGTAGACACAAAAAGCTCCCGGACACGACATCACCATGACAGCAGTAAAACCCTAGCAAACATAGCAACGGTGTTTGGAGCAGGAACGCCAACAGCAGCAGCATCAGCAGCAAGAATAACACCACCAGCATCAACAGCAACGACAGCGACTACAGCATCAAAAACATCCAGTACCACCACCGCCACAACAACAGCAACACCGGCAGCAACAACTGAAGCTGCCGCTGCTGGTACTGCTGCTGACATATCAACCAAACCTAGTAATACTACAACGACTACTACTATTGACAGTATACCGCTACCACTGCTGCTGTACCATCCCTGACCAGCCACTGCCACTACCACTAGCACGACGACGACGGCGACGACCACCTCGACGACTGCTACTGCCGCTGCTGCCCCCATTAAGTACTTACGTCGGCAAAAGCGTTGTGCGGTGCAAGTGTTCTCACGATGCTATCAGCCCGATCACGAGGCTCTTTCTGCGGGGCTGTATCCCCCGGTCTATACGACCTCTATGTAGGAGACAAGCAGTTGCGAGAACTCCTCCAATGTCGGCCTTCTTGGGCTACTGAAGCACCTTCATGTGCGTTCTGCCTTTGGCTATGGAAGCTCTTTGTCTGGATGCTACCCTGTGTGGCGGAATCCTATCATAAGACAAGGGGGGAAGTGTTCCTCAAAGGCTTGGGGCATTGAGTTCCTTGGGTAGGACAGGGGCTCGGCGGCTGGTCCTGCGCTTCAGATGAGGCTCCTGAAGTCTGAGGTTTGAGGCGTAGCGCCGTAGAGCTTAGGCTTAGACAGCTTTTTAGCCCAGACACGCAAATTAAAAGAAGGCCATGCAGGGAACAGCTAAACAAAGCCTAGAGGCCTTCAGCGAACTCGCCGAGGGTGCAAAAGCAAAACTTTACACATGACATGTCCTCAGACTTATAGATTGGAACCGGGAGCTCAACAAGAGCCTCTGAGCTTTGCAGGTCATGGTTCAGTTTGCTCCTGTCTGCCTCCAAGTTGGGGAGAGTTTGACGTTTCTACTTTTCCAGGGTGTGGCCGGCCATTCTAGGCTCTATGAAGTTGTAAGATGTTTAAAGGCTTGGCGGCTTGGCAAGCCGGAGTAGGCTCGCTTCTTCTGGGCTGAGGACACGTAGTTGAGATCAGAATTGCAATTGCTCGGGGCATTTTGGGTCCGACATCAGAAGCTTTGCTGGCGGCCGCCCAGAACATTGCAGGCTTTGAGCGGTGCTGTGGGAGTTTCGTTTAAGCAGCGGTGCCACTTCAAGACCTCCTGACAGTCCACGTCCGGTACCAGAGGCCCCTGTGCTGAGAAGATCCTGCTGGTAGCTATTTTGCCACGAGAACTGGTGGGCAGGATAGCATCGGGAAGTTAACTCTTCTCAAACGATGTGCACCTCGAAGAACCCGAAAAGTTTCCGCAGTTGTGCGAGTTGTGAAAACCACAAGAGCCCGGCAAGGGTTGTTCCCCCATTCACAGTCTGTTGGAGTCGTTCAGGCTCTAAGATAGCTTCCGGAACCTGGGGTGCATCCTCTCCGGGGCTTAGAGTTGCACGGTTGCGGATTTATTCTTTGGACTTTACAACAACGTAAGGTGTAAGGTTTATACTTGGGCATTTGGGGCTTTAAGTCTGTCTTCTGAGGTCTGTGGCTGTTCTGGGCTACATCTCCGGGCTTCGGCACGGCGTCGCGTGGTCTGGGCGCAACAGCCATGTCTTGCAAGTGCTCCACATTCCCGTCCTTCTTTGCATAGCCCTAGTTTTAGTTCATCAAATGAGGCTTAGTATCCTGAGCCCTAGACTCCTAAAGGTTACCAAGTCCTTTAAACCTTAAGTCCTGAAGCCCACAAAAGCATCTACACGCCAAACTAAGTGAGGGCTTGCTGCGGGCGTGAATGAAGAACATAAAGGTTTGATTTTTGGTGGTGGGAGTGCAGAGAGCTTCTGGGACGTTGGGGGGAATCTGACTCCTTAACTCCTGAATCCTAAATGGCATCAACCGCAATTGCTGAACCCGAGTCAGCGTTGCAGAGAGGGAAAACCCGAGTCAGACCAGCTGCTCTCGAGGCAATAGCCCCGAAAGATCAAGGGCTCAGCTTCGAAACTGCAAATTCATCAAGCTTGGAACTGCATATACCAGATGTCGATCATCACTGTTAAAGCCCGCTGCGCATGGAGCAGATGAGTATTTGTTGAAGCCCTTGTCCCTGGAAATGCTGCTGCGTGCTGCGATAATTTCTGGCTGAGTTGAGGTGGAGAGTCGTAGGAGCGCAGGACATGATATGACATAGTTATAGTGTAGTGTGACAAAGACTGGTCCAGCACAATACAACACGCACGGAGCAACAGCACCGGTTACGACAAGACACAAAGAGCAGCCGGACGCACGTCGACTCGCCATGCGCGTGCCATGCACAACTGCAGAAGCAGTACCTAGGTGGCACTTGGGAATGCCTCCGCTTTTCTGGATGTGTAGAGGTACTTATTTCAAAACGTTGTGGAATCTGCAGGCCTACGCCTGCCCTTAACCCTGTAAACCCTGTAGGCCATATTACCGATAGACACCCGATCTGTAAAACCGAAACCCTAGAAAATCCCAGAAACCGCCAGCCTTAACTTACAACCCAGGTGTGCGTGGGACGGGCCACGGCCAGCGAGGAAGTCTCCACTTTCCATGGCCCGACTGTGCCGGGACCCGAAGCCTGTGACTCTGACACCGAAGACGTGTCCATCATGCAGGAAATGATATTCATGTAGGGGCCTTAGTAATTGGAATAGGGTTTTGGGGTATATTAGCCTATTATAGTCATTGTAATTCTGTAGGCTCCTGCAATAGTAGAGTAGGTGGTGGAGCCTGATAGGCTTTAGGGCAATAGCATGTGATAACAATAAGTTACCAAGAATAGTAATCAGGACAACAGAACTGTAGGAATAGTGCCAGCAAGAGAAACAGGACTCAGACATGAACATGGCTTCGCTTGTGTTTGTTTTCTTCTTTTGGGCTCCTCAGGTTTGAAGCAAGTCGGATTTTGCCCTAAACCCTAAACCGAGTGTGAGCGCCGAAACCCTAAACCCCTAAACCCTAAACCCTATAAGGAAACCCTGAGGATCCCGGAAGCACGGCGGCTTCGAGGCTTAGAGTTTCTGAACATGTGGACTCTGAAATTCACGGGGAAGTCCCCCTTGAGCTGGGCATGGATATGTCCGCAAGCCCGTCGCCAGCAGCCTCCCAGCCTGTTGCTCCAAGACGTCCTAGCTCGCTTGCGGCCGAAGAAAGAGATCCTATCCTTTGTTCTAGACAACATTACTTGTATGCTTCCGGATCCCGTTCTCAACAAGGAACCAGGAAGTGTTCGCTTTTAAGCTTCGACCTTTCGGCGGCTTGAGCACCTAGGATCTCCTCTGCGCCGTGCTCACCATGATGCTCCCTACGCGCGCGGAGTGCGTCCGAGGCATTCCGCTGCCCGCGGCGTTGGAGGGATGCGGGCAGGCACTGCGAGGCAGCCCTGGAGGTCTGGTACCTGTGCTTAGGGCCTAGGGTTTCAGAGCCCAGCATAACCCCTATCAACTCTAAGCCTCCGGAGGTCTGTATCGGCGCAGCCGGCCAGCATCATTCATTGATGTTTTCTGGTCCCACAGTTGGACAGCAAGCTCCTGGATGAAGTATGCTACCCTGCGGGTGTTGAGCAGCAGCTTTGTGCCAACCGCGTGTGGCACGCTCGGCGCGATGCTGGCCTTATGTCTGCGAGCTTGGAACCTGTTGCCTTCGCTTGGTAGTGACCTTGGGTTTTTGGACTCACAGTGGTGCTTGCTTTTTTGGAATGGGCAGCTACTACCTAGCCCTGCTCACTTGGTGGCCGCGTCTGCTCGTTTTCCTCGATGTCGTCTGCATAGACCAGGAGGGCCCAAGAAATCCAATAACCAAAGGGTCGTCCTCTATCCAGGTCCCGAACCCTTTTGACCCGAAGCCCGGAATAAACCTGTTCCCAGTTTTTCTTGAGGCCTGACCGGGGATGGAGGTAGTAAGGCAACAGCTATACTATAACACCTTCTTGGCCTGATACCGGCTGCCTTCATTAGCACCTTACCATGGAGCCGTTTAGTTAAAACATTCCATGATCTTTGCGCTCATAACTTGTATCCCCTGTGGTCGCTTTTTTCATGAAGCGGCAAGGAAGACGAGGAGAAGAAAGGAGAGGCCTTGCTCTGCATGGGTGCCATCTTGCCGCCCGGGCTGCGACGAGAGGACTTTGGGCTTTGGGGTTGCTTCAGATTCACAACCTCTTTGATTCATAGGGTTTAGGGAATTTGGGTTTGGGGTTTAGGGTTGTGCACGCATACTTACAGACAAGCATGCATACACGCATTTGTAAATCCAGACATACAGGTAGGCGGAAGGACAAACAGGCATACATATCTTGAATGTGTGTATCTTTGTATATACACTGTAATGTGTAATACATGTACAGGTCGACAGCTTATGTATGCATGCCTGCATGCATGCATGCATGCATATGTGTATGTGTGCAAATAGGCAGGTAAGTAGGTAGGTAGGTAGGTAGGTAGGTAGGTAGGTAGGTAGGTAGGTAGGTAGGTAGGTAGGTAGGTAAGCAGGCAGGCAGGCACGCAGGTAGCTAGGTAGATGGGTTGGCAGGTTGGTATGCATGCATGCATGCATGCATGCATGTACAGTTTTACGTATATACGCATACAGTTTATGTCATTTCTGGACAGGCGGATCGATAGATGGATAGGTCGATAGTCCAGGTAAGCAGGTCGGTAGGTCGGTGGGTAAGTAGCTAGATGGCTAGAGAGGTACATAGACAGTCGGATATAGCTAGACGAATATGATGTGAAGCTTTTCTTGCAGGGCTTCAGGGCTTGGGGCAGTTCTTGTGCATGCTTGACTGTGCCTTGGAAATTGAACGCATGCGACAGGTGAGCTAAAGTACCAATCTGTTTTGGCGTCCGAGGAAAAGCTCATCATCCATGCAAGTCCTTTGGGATCCAAGCCCCTTGGGAACATTTCATCGGCAGAGTCAGGTTTGCGGTTAGCCGTCGTTTTTGTGTTAAGGGCTTGGCCGGTCACTTCATCTCGAATATTCGAGGAGTGTGTATGACAACCGACCAGGTTTCAAGGTCGTGACCCTATACGAGAACTGACTAGGTTCCCTGAAATCCAGGCCATCCGTGCTGCGACGCAGGCAGTTCCACAAGTTGCATTTCCTCAGCCCCAAATCCTGCGAAACCCTTGAACAGACTGAAGTACCAGGTTGGGTCGGGTTTCGGGTTTAGGGCGTCTTCACTCCAACTCCGGGCGAGGTGGAAAGGGCGGCTTCACTACTTCCATGTGAGCCCGAGGCCCTGTAAACCCGACAAGCCCTCAGCCCTTAACACCAGCATGGACCTGTGAAGAAAGAAACAGAAACCCCAGGTGGGGCCTGTTAATTTCTACAGAATACAAATAGCAAGCCTCAACCCCCGTATAGCGCTGACAAAAACCCAAGGAAAAGGTTCGAAGAAAGGAAGAACGGCTTGGGCGTTACCTAGACCCTGAACCCCACGAAGCCCAAACGAAGTAGGACGGCTTCAAAGCCAAAATCCTATGCCTGTACCCAATAAACCCTGAGACCTGTAGAAAAACCAAGATGCTCTAAAACCTAAACCATAAACCCCTAAACGCGTTAAAACCCTAAACTCCCTAGACCCCTAAACCCCGAGACCCCTAAACCCCTAGACTCCTAAACCCCATAAACCCCCAAACCCCATAAGCCCTAAACCCCTTCACCCCTAAACCCCCAGACCCCTAAACCCCATAAGCCCCATTAACCCCATTAACCCCATAAGCCCTAAACCCCAAACCAAGATGGACTGGAGACTGCTCGATCCGGAGCCGCTGAACCATAAACCCGCTAAAACCCGAAACCCAAGATGCTCAGGTTGGGCTT